CCGGTCAGCCCCGCTCCCCGGCCGGCAGCTCGGGATCAACGGTCACACCGTGCACGTCACGTCAGAACCGAGCGTGGGCGAACGCCTCTGTTGAGATTCACTGGGTTGAGAAGCCAACAGCTGTCAAAAGTGCTCTGAAAATGTAAAGGGAATGTAACATCCATCTCTTCTGAGCCCGAGACTGTGGGAGCACAATGAAGGCAGCCCGGTCTCCTCTCTTGGAGGAGATGGAGCTGATAATAATAGGAAGACCCTGGTCTACAGGCAGTACACTAAGTGCTGTGTTCATGCACTTCAGTTTACTTGGTTTGTCACCAGCAGGCTAATGCTCCTTTAGGTTGTTAGTCCTTGTCAGGTAAATAGACTATAAAACGTTCTCACATTTTTTACCTAGCTTTGATAACTTTGTGGTGTGCTTCTTAGTATTAACGCTTTTTAGAAATCTCTCTACTCTTCCAGTGTCTGGCAAATTGAACCCAGTCTTGAAATAATTTACTACTTTGTACTGAACTGTCCTCTTAAGTGGTTCTGGAAAAGGAAGTAAAAGCGATGTTTTAATAGCCAGTAATCATATCTTACAGGTTTTTTCCAGTCCTATGCAGTGGAAGTAGATGTAAAGGATGCCTCTAATGCTACGTGTCTGTATGCAAAATGGATGATGAGATTCTTGATAAAATATGAAACAAACAGTAGTGATTATGTAAGTATTTGGAGGTAATTTTTGTTGAGAACTGTATTTTGTCCTGGGTAAAAGTTTAAGTTCACTTTTTTGCCTGGGGTGTTTGGTTTTTTACTAAGTCAGTTGTTAGGAGTATTCGTAAATACTCATTTTAAAACAAAGTGTAAGTTCTCAATTAATAATACAAATAACTGAAAGTGCCCTGTGGCACTTACTCTACGTGGCATACTGCTCAAACTTGGTGGGTTTTGTGTATCAGTGTAGTTAATGTTCTCAGCCCAAATAGTAAATGTAAATTGCAGCTCAGCGCGGTCAAGACTTACAGCCAAGTTAGATTTGTACTTGCATACATGAACCTGATATGTCTCCTTTCTAAGTCAGGGAGCCTTTTTCGTATCTTTCTAGAATAACCTAAAATAATCTCACTGATCATGTGAAAAGTTCCCTCTAACTCCAGGAGGCTTATAACCTTGTCATGGGGAAGAACTGCTACCTGTGGAAATATTTAAAATCACCCTTTTGTTGTAGAAAAGCACAACCTTGAATTTGTCATCCAGTGTGACACACAATGGGAGTGTCTGTGGGAATGACACACAAGCTGCGCTTCTGGCAGTACAGTTTGGAGGAGGTCACTCGTGGAGCGTTAACTTTACAAAAACCAATGAAACTTACCAGGGGGACTTCATCACGTTTACCTACAACACCAACGATACTGCTGTTTTTCCTGATGCTAAAAGAAAAGGTAATGCTCTGTGCAGAATCCTCCTTGCAAAACAACCTCGGCTGCAAGCGTCAGGTCTCATGTACCTGACCTTGGTTGGCTTTTTCGGAGTGAGAAGGACTAATAATGTATCTAACGACTTCTATGCCATATACTGCCTGTTGTTCATCATAGCTGCCTGCTAGATGAGGATACAGACTAGTGAGCTTCACTGGATGTGTGATTCCTTGAGGTGGAACAGAAGGGGAGGGTTGCCTGTTTGAACAGCCTTGCTCAGTGAGGTGCTGCTGATAGACATCAGGAGTATGGAAGATGCGTTTTAATGTGCACTACTTGACCTAGCAAAGCAGTACCGTGTTAGGCTTCCTGTGTACTAATACCTACTAATAATAGGATTATTTCTTTCCATAAATAAAAATTTAAGTAAAAGGGTTCACCTTCCTAATGCCTTGCCTAGTTCTGGAAGCTTTACTTAGCACTTCAGGTCAGGACACCTAGGTAAAACATTCAAGAGAGGTTAGGATTGTTAAACTTGGTTATCTTTTTGTCTTACGGAATTACATAAAACATAACACTACCTGTAAATGTTCTTGTAGTTCATATGGCATTGAAATATTTCTGCTTATTTGTAGGACTAATTACTGTTGTTGTAAAGGATACTATGCGTCCAGTTCAACTGAATAACGTCTTTGTGTGTCATAGTACTGACTCTCTTGAAGCTGAAAACGTAACACAGATTTTCTGGAATGTTACTGTGCAGGCTTTTGTTCAGAATGGCACAATTGGTAAAAAAGGTGAGCGTTTCAGTTTGTGAATGAGGGGTTTTTTGTATTGTACCTTAGTGCAGGGAGCAAAGTCCCATAATAAAGAATCCACCAGTTCTAAGATGTGCTGTGTTGAATAGTGTTGATGTAAATATCCTTTAGTACATCTTTCCTTGTTCCTGGAAAAATAGATTAGTAGGATGGATTTAGTAGTATATAACAATGCAGATTGTTCCCATGCCAAGGTGGCAGTCTAATAGTGTGTATTCCAGTAATTCGGGTATTAAAAATAAGCATTTCAGAACTACAGTTGCTGACTAGATCATTTTGAGCTTCAAGGTATTTAACTGACTGCCTTCCATTTTCAGTGTAGCCTCTGCTTTTTCATTTTAATAGTCCAGAGCCTGTTGTCTCATCCCGTAGCTCAACTACTCAAAAGAGATGAGCACATCATCCTGCTGCATAAAGCTTAATAGGGTTGCTTACTTCATCTACAGCTAAATACACACCACGCTTTTATACCCACGTGGCTATCTCTGTGTGTTTCGCTTACATGTGGTGGAGGTAAGTAGTACTGCATATGCCACATGGAGCTAAAACTGTGGGCAGTACAGAATTTCTGAGAATAAAGGGTAGCTGTAAATTGCTTGGGATACTGTGCCGTAGTGCTGAGTTTGAGGCTTCTGACTTGGTAATTAGCAGACTCCCAACGAGCCTAGATATCAACAGGGAAATTGGTATCTGTATTGAACTGACCTCTGAGTCATAAGATTCTAATAAAATTTCAGCACTGAAATGGTGGTTGAAATTTCTTTTCAGAGTCTAGATGTCGTGCTGATATGCCTACTTCTGCACCTACTGTTCCGCCCACTATTGCGAACGTAACTACCGCATCTACCACCACTTCATCGCCTGCTCCAACCACTGCTCCCAAACCTGTGCAGGCTCCAGACACAGGAAACTATTCTCTTGAAAGTGGAAATAAAACTTGTTTTCTGGCTAGTGTGGGGCTGCAGCTCAACGTTTCCCAAGACAAGGTGCTGTGCTTCTCTTTTAGAAGAGTGGGAAGGTTGCTGTAGTTGTTTGGTATGAAATGAGAGTGCAGGGTATTTGCTTTGTACGCTGCTGGCTGTCCAGAGCTGCCCCTAAGTATTGTACGTACTGACATCAGGATCGTTTGGTGGCATAATAACTACCTTCAAAACCTTATGGGGATTCAATGTGACTCGTTACTGGGAGTACCTCTTAACATCATTAAAAGCCTGGAACTTTCTTAAGCTTTTTAAGGCTGTTGGTCCCTGCAGATACTGTCTTTCCCCACAGAGGGAGCCAAAGATAACCTGTTGTATTAAGTCAACAAAGTAAGACTTTGCTGGGCGATTTGTTTGCTTCAGTATTACCAGTGTGTAACTAAACTCAGGTAGCCTTGGTTCAGTACTAGCCAGGCTCAATCTCCCTGCTGTCATCTTCATTACAAGCTCTTCTAAGGCTGGCTATCTAAGGCTGCTGCTGACTGGAGCAGTGGATTCCTCATGGCTGCATGTCTTTGACACGCTATGTCTGTATTTCAGCCTCTTCTGATCAACATCAATCCAAAGACAACTAGCGCAGATGGTGTATGTGGCAACACAACAGCTACTCTGAAACTGAATGATGGAAATAGCACGTTGATTAGTTTCACATTTGTTGTTGTAAGTAACTTCTTTTATTTTAAACTAGTTTCCACTTTAACAGCATGTGTGATGATCACTTATAGTAAAATCCTTCTGTCACTTGCTGGTGGAAGGCTGTTCCCTTGTAGGAAGTGGAACTGGCTGGCTGACTGCCTCAGGACAAATGGGGAATTGGGTTAATGTAGAAAATGTAAGACTGTGGTAAATGTGTTAGCCTTTGTAACGCATGTGTTCCTAAGGTTACGAATGCAGAGTTGCACACTGACAGTTGGTTCTTGCTTCTTAAACAGAGAAACGCAAGTGCAAACGTACAAAAATACCACCTGAAAGAGGTCAATGTTACACTGCTCAACCGGCTGAATGGTTCTGGTAAGAAACAGTATCTGCCTTAAAGCAAGTGTAAGCTTTTATTCAGTGTCTGTGTTTATCAGATACTTCTGACTTTTTTTTTTCTTTTTCCCCCCAGTGCTGTTCTTGCTTACTGTTACTTCCTACTTTAAGTTGGTAGGAACAAAAGTAAGAAGCAGAAATGGCTGTAAGAGCTACTTTAAACAGCAGTGTGGGATCATCCTTTTTTCCTGAAACTTCTGCTAGTGGGGTCTCTTACTTTGTGATAAACATGTGTAAATTAAGAGGGCTTCTTTATAACTGTTTTCAGTAACATAATTTTTTGAGGTCTGAAATAATACGGTTGTACCAACTCCTGAAGCTTTTTGTTTTTCCTAAACCAGCTGTTGCCGTCTTTGAAGATGCTGCTGTATCTTCCAACCACTTCTACTTAGCTCTCGCTGGGGAAGGAGACCAGTCCTTCAAAAACTTAAGCATGCTTTTTTCCAAATCAGAAGTATGGTTTTCTTAAAAGCTGCTTGTCATGGTACTGCAGTTGAAAGGGCACTAAAGTGCAAATGCTGACAACTCTGCAGTGCTGGGATGAGCAGAGGTGCAAGGAAAGCTTGATGTCAGTCTGTAAGGAGGACAGGTTACTGCCAAGTACTGTAGTAACTTCAGTGCCTGACTTCTTTTGGTTAAGCAGATCAATCACACTTCAGACTACCTTGTTTTTCAGAGTAGTCAGTGTTGAAAAGTTGGCCCCTCTTTTTTTATTATATTAGATTGTATTAGCAACTCTCTTGCGTTTAAAGTGGGCATGCAAATTTCCTTTTTTTTTTTTCTTCCCCCCCTTTCTTTAGTCATTTCAAATGCAGATAACAACAATTTCAGCAAGTGGGATGCTTTCCTTGGTAGTTCTTATATGTGCCGAAAAGAGCAAACTCTTCAGATTAATGAAGAATTTCAAATACATACTTTTAATCTATGGATTCAGCCATTCCTTGTGAGGGAAAATAAGTTCTCAGAAGGTAAGAGTTGTTTTTTTGTTAATTCTTGCAAAATTCTTACTTGCTAAAAAGCACCAGCATTGGGCACAAGCACTTTATTTTTTAAGCTCTTGTTCCGTTGTTGGTTGGGGTTTTTTTCTGTTTGTTTTTGGGGTTTTTTTACACATGGAATGAAGAGGGGTTCTGAGACTGCCATTCCAGTTCAAGGAAAGCCTTGTTCTCAGTTAAAAAATGTCTGCTAGGTATGTTGGTTGTCCTTCATAAAACTTGAAGGAACTAGAGACACTGAAGAGGGACTTAAGCATTGCCTTGTGGAATAGGTTAGAAGTTAATCTGACATGATCTTGACATACAGCTTTTTGTAACTCAAATGTATAAGAAAATGGGACAAAACTTTAGCAGAAGTGGACTCTGGTAATACCATGAGTTGTTTCGTTTCTTTTTACCTGTCAGCCTAAGAGATAGGAGTGTGGGGGGGAAAAAATGAACTGGCGGAGCTGCTTTCAGAAGCAGTGTTGAATATCCAGAACTAAAGAAAGATTTAAAAATCTTTGTTTGCTGCATTATCCTGGTTTTGTCCGGGGAAAACTGGAATGGGTTAAATGACATCTTTCTTGATCTTTAGTGTAATCTGACCTTTGTACTTCATGATAATATTTGCAGTACAGTCTTACCAGACCAGACTAGTCTGTTGACAAGTAGATTGGGTGCAGATTTTTGAACTTTTTTTTAGGCAGAGGTAAGTATACAATTGTATGCAGGGTAAACACTATCATAATACATTGTAAAGAGGTTCCATTTCACTGTGTAGTTCAAGTTGCAGCTAGCTGCCTTCTGCTCCTAATGGTAGTTATTTCATCTCTCTGTAACATGTCTCCATTCTTTCTAGATAGGGTCCTGATACCAAATCGAGGTCACTTTATTCCTAATGCGTAAAAGCACCAGACTTGCCTTAAGCATGAAAGAGATAAGGCTGGTTCTGTCTTAAAAGCAGAAGAATGGCTGCTCCCTTGGCTAGTACAGATCTTGTGCACATGAAAACTCCTAAACTGGTAGCCTACTGTAGTTTATCAAACGTTCCTAGTGATTATAATGCTTAATATATGCTAGATGTATCCATAAGACCTCTGCAGTTCTTTCTGTCTTAGTTTAAAGATGTAATACTTGATTTTTGAACAACTTCTTATTAAGGAAAACAGATTTTTGTACCACGCTTGGCAAGTATTCTGTCTTTATTTATTCCTTGTTGCAACCTTTTTTTCACCTACAGCCCAGGAGTGCTCGCTGGATGATGACAGCATTCTAATCCCAATTGTAGTTGGTGCTGCACTTGCTGGCTTGATTGCCATTATAGTGGTTGCTTACATAATTGGCAGAAGAAAAAGCTATGCTGGATATCAAACTTTGTGAATCTAAACGTGAATCCTGTTCTGATTTCACTCTAAACAAAGCAAGTGCAAGTTCTGAAGTCCGAAAAAGACCCAAAACTTAGGAGTAATTACTAGCCACACCTAATTGGAGTTGAGAAACAGAGAATGTTTGTCTCAGATGAAGCAGAACTACATTTTTAGTTTTCCTGCTCAAAGAAGACGACGTGGGTTTCATAGCTGTTTTGAAGATGTCAAATACTGGGTGAATTGCTAGGCTAAGGATTTTATCTTGCAAAAACCCTAAAGTGTTTAGGATTTATCTCTGCTTTTTACGAATTGTAGCCTGAAACAAGATCACATTCTAGATGTGCATTGGGCAATTCCCTGAATAGCATAGAATTTGTACTTGCTTCTCTCCTCTGCGTTCCTTAGTTGTTGTCATAATTGTGGGTTAAGCTGGCAGCGTTAGTCACTGTGTTGACTCGTATTCAACGGGGATTGTACGATGCCCAGTAACAACTTCGTTTTTCATAGAATTGAACTTTAGGCTGGTGATTAAGTGTTCTTTTGAAGTGGCAGCAGTAACTTACTTAGCTTTGACAGAATTTGAGTAGTTTATTCCTGCCTTGGTGTAGTTTCAGGAACCATTCCTATACCCTGGCTGTAGAAACACAATGGGTAACCTATACTTGCCAAATGGTGGATAATATAGGAAGACTTCAGTGCCATTTCCAAATGCTTTCAAAAAAAATAATTACTGTTAGGCACTGAATTCTTCATCACTTACTATACCTTGGCAATCGTCTGAAATACTCAACCGAGGCAGAGTTCTGCTAAATTAATGCAAGCTTTTTTGCTGGCATCAGTTTAAAGGGAATAACCTTTCTAAATATTCCAGAACTTTAAAGTGCACTTAACTTTATATCTTACTTGCACAGAACTGGTCTGTCTTGTTGCTTTGAATGACCATTGTTTAAAGATGCTTTCATTTAATGAGCCAGTTGTTGCAGCTTGAGCTGTCCTTAAATCTTCATCTTGAATGGTTCTCTGCCAATCAAAATTTACGTTATAACTGCCCGCCATTGGCATCCTGAATGTTTAATGTACTTTGTGTTGGATTGCTGTGTAGCATTTATTACTGTTAAGAATGCAAAAGCCAAACAAGTCTGATACGGACCCATGACACCTGTTTTTCCTTGCTGTATGGAAAGGATAACTAGCTTAAAAAATGCAGTGCAACTGGACTATTCTTAAACTGCAGCTCTGTAGAGACTAACCCTTGCTGCACAACTCTTCTCTGGCCTCCTTGTGCTGAAATACATAGGTTTTACTGCATGGAAAAAAAAAAAAAAGTCTTGGACCTTTAGGTAAGTGTGGCTTTTTTTGCATATGTCATCACATAAGCTGCCTAAACCAGTTATTTAATGAACGTAACATTGTCTCCCCCTTTAGAATGAGTTTAGCCTGCATCAAAGCTGGTTTAGTGTTTTATTAGTGTTTTCTAGGGCTGTAGAGATGTCTGTGGCATGTTTGTGTACAAATCATAAAATACACTTCTTTCAGTAATATTTTTTTTTTGTAAAAACAGTTTACTCTTGACACTAGCCAAGGAAGCAAGTATGGATGGATAATGCTTACTATAGCTTCTAGTCTACAGCTTGAATTTTGCATCAGTTACTGAAATTCATTTTAATGAAAGTGGGGAACTACTGTAAGTTTAATCCTGAAACAGGCTTCAAGACTTACCATTTTAATTAAAAAAAAAAAAAAGTGGATCTAATGACTTTCATATTAATATCTCCTCAAACAGAGAAGTTCGTATAGATTTTTAGCATTTTTGTGACTGATGTTCAGTGGCACCAGTTACACATGCATTTCTGTTAAGGAGTAGTTACCACACTATATTCATGCAACCATGCAAATTTTTAACTGTGCACGGTTTCCAAGGGACAGTATAGAAGATCAGTGCAAACTGCTCCCAAAATTCAACAATATTAGAAGTATCTTTGCAAAAACCCGCAACTTAAGATTAATTTGCAAGCGTATTGGCTCAGAGATTAAAATACTCCTGGACTGATGTGCAGATAACTGGTTCAAAAAACATCTAAGTTTTGCCTGACTGCCTGTTATAAAACCACTAGTTTTCCTGTATGTATTGCTCCATAGGGAACTGTCAACCTGTTCAACATGTGCTCTAAATAATAAAGGTTGTTCTATTTCGTAAGGAAACTGGTTCACATTTTTTCACTGATTTGGAAACAGACATCTTGTACTGTCTTTTTAAAAAAAAAAGAAATAAACTAACTGAGTGAGGTCGGCTTCAATCAGTCTTTATCTGAGATTCTGTTGTGTAGCTGGTGAAGGTGCTCCTTGGAGAGCCCTCTTGCCTGTGTCTGAATGCTTTGTTTTGCAGCACATGCCGAAGTGTGCTTGGGCGCAGTCCACGGGCAGAAGACAGCTTAGGCACTGACTGAGAACACTGTACGCCTGGTTCGTCGTTAGAAATTTGTTTGTCAACTTTTTTGCCAGTGGTAGCTCCATCCGGACAAGACGTTTTGTGATTTGATTTTGCTAGCCATCTCAGACTGGTGTGCAGTTCGGTTTCTTCTTGCAGTCATCCTGGGAAATGAGGCAGGTCTCTGCGTTCAGCAAAAGGGGGAGAGCATTAGGGAGCCTTCTGGGAATGGGTTAATAGCTTCGTCCTCTGTGGTAGAAGCTGTGTTGATGCTGCCTGTGCTGCCAGTTCTTCTGGTAACAGTGCTACTATATACTTTCTGCATCAGGAGGGACACTAGTCTTCCCTTTCCCATACCTCTTTCTGGCCTATCTTGTCAACTATATGACAAGAGGAAGAAGTGTGGTCTAATGCTACACCCTTTCTTCTTGATTCTAGCCTGCACTGCTTAAATAATCATTGTGTTAAAGCTACCTTCTTATCTGCTACACAAAGTCAGAACAACATGAGCACCTTTCTGAAGCATAAGCTGAAGTCAGCTGAAGCTTTTTTAATGTGAAGAAAAACAAATATTTTAATAGGATCTTGTTAAAGAGCTTAACAGTGGGGTTCCTAAGGATGTATATCAGGGAAAGTGAATTTAAAGTACAATGGGACTGCAGGCATCGAGTTCCCATCAAATTACCAGTACAAGGCAGTCTGCGAGAGTCTGTGGCAAAACTTGGAACAAGCAGGGATTACTGCTGTCCTCTAATAAGTGTAAACACTCTTGTTTTCTTTGTCAAAGCATTACTATTTTAACTGTAATTCTGTCTCCAGTATTGTCTCTCCTGGAGGCTCGCAGTGAGTATCTATATACAGGAAGACTGGACTTTGTGGTGTACAATAGTGATAAATCTACAGGAATATGCACATACCTGCTTTTCAAGAAAGTATAGAATGGAATTATGAGTCTGTTAGTTACGGTGTTTGGGAAGGGGAACTCTTGCTATTGTATTTTGAGGAGGGGGAGGAGGTTGGGGGTTTGTGTCTGATGTGCTGTTGCGGTAAGGTATTAATTAGAGGGAGATTATAGTGTTAAATACTTCTATTTAAATGCATTTCTTTTTCAAACTTGCCCTTTTTCTATTTATCTGAAGGCTGCAGCCCAGAGGTAGAGCGCTTCATTGTACCCATAGCAGTAGGAGCAGGTTTAGGGGCATTAGTTGTCCTGGTACTTACTGGCTTACCTTCTTGGTTACAAGAAATGCTGGATACAAGTAGATTTAAAATGAGAAAGTTTAACTTTATTTAAAAAAAAAAAAAAAAAGAACAAATCTGAACTCAAAAGACAGGTTACTTGCCAAGTCAGGCAAATGGTTTGTTAAAAACAAACCTGCTTAAGAAATAACACAGAATGTTTTGTCATGGTTTATGTTTGAGCCTAATGGTTGGACAGAACATGTTCTGGTTCATAATCGATTGATGAATTCGCTTCAGTTCTTCCAAAATACAACACTTTTAATTTCAGAGTATTAAAGACGTGTGGTAGCATTATGTGAATAAAAATAGTTTTGTTCTGGTCTGTGGAAACATCATTTAACTTCTGCGTGCTTGTGGTTGTTGAATATTAATGGCTATGTTCTGTCAAAAGACTGGGTTGTTTTGATTACTATTAACTGTGCCTTATATACAGTTTACTAAATACTAAAACTGTGCTCTAAGATAACAAGATTTCTGATCTTTTAGCTTAAAGATGCCATGCTAGTAGTTCTCAAGCTTTTCCAGCCACTGCATGCCTTTTGTTTGCTTGTTTGTTTGAAATTTACCACGGTATTCTCTATTGTATAGCATATACTAATAAAACCACAAAATTCTGGGCTATTGGTTGCATCTCATGATTGAAATTAGGAAGATAGCTTTTCTACTGGGCCTAAAAACGTCGGGGGCGAAAATTTTGAATGGAGACACATTCAACCAAACACATCGAAAAAGCTGTTCTTCCTGGCCTGGACGTGGAGCCGTGTTTGTCGTGGTGGGCAGTTACCAGGTTCTGCAGCTGAAGACACTTCCCTGAAGCCTCTAACCATTGCGCAGGAACGGTGCGTGGATAGATGTGTGCCAGCAACGGTGGCAAACCGGAGAGAGGTAAAAGATGGAACGTTCCTGGTACGAAACTTTAAACCCTTTTTATCCTGGGAATTCCTCGTAACAGTGCCATATCGTGGTGGTGCGTGTTGCAGTGATCTCCTTTAACGAAGAGAGAAAGGGAATTCTGTCGCTGCCTGCTGGGCACCTTTCATCCTTAGGGAATTCCTTCATGTTTAGTATTCAGTGACCCCTTACCCACCATGTCGTAGTTAAATTGTGTACGTTGGTCTTCAGTGAACAAAGTGAACTAAACGTCAAATGCAGTTCTCTCTTTTTAAGATGCTTAAATACTTTCTCAGTAGTCAGAGTATTTTGAAATAGCTCACTGTGTAAGGTGCGTATTTCCTTTTTATCTTTTTTTTTTTTTCCCTTTCCAAGCGTTGCTCTACTTGGCAGTGGGTGCCTTCAGATTATCTGAGTTCAGTATTTTCAGGAGCTGAACTTCCATGTGTGTTTTCTTTCCTCTTAGCCAAAGGCTTTGTATAGCCTTTCGTGAAGGTGTTGTGGCAAGAGCGTTCTGGACTGTAGTGAGCTAAATCAAGGCAGTAAATTTCCTGTAACTAAGGGTGATTCAGTTAGAGACTGAAACGGTTTCAATATGCACTTAATAACAAAAACTTTTGCTAAAGCACTGCATGGGTGCATGACGCGTGCTCTGCTCTGATACAACCTCAAGCGAAAAAGCTTGATAAGGAGCTCCATGATATTAAAAGTGTGTGAGTCAATCACTCTTACAGTGCTGAGCAGCTCACAGGCACCGTACCGTGTCTTGCTGAACGTCCCATCTTGGCACCGCGGAGGTGGAGATCTGCTTTCTTTACAAAGGCGAGGAATGCCAAGCCCCGCCTGGG